GTTCCCCTCGGTGCTGGAGCAGGGATTAAAATCCAGCTCTGACTGCAGTTGGTTCCTGAGCGACCGCTGCGCCGCCTCACCCACCCCACACCTACCTCACCCTGACTGGGATGGAGGTAGGAGGATTTTCTGTTCTCAGTGGGAACTGAGGGTCTCCCAGCTCTACCCAAACCTGCCCATTGGCACAGAAGAAGTAGTACAAGCCAACTATAGTAGAGAAGTGGGAGGGGAGGGGACAGTGGGGGTGGCTCTGGGCTACCTGACACCCCCTCCCACCCCCTAGCTCCCTTCTCATTCGGGCCTCAAGTGTGGGTGGGATCTGAATGAGAGAGCTGCCACCACTGTGCCAGAGCTCTTGGCATTGGTCACCAGTTCTGCTCCATCCAGCCCAGCACCTCTTCTCCCCATCCCTCTCCTCGGTTCCCCAACACACAGTGGAGAGGCCACCATCAGCGCAGGAATAGATAGATGTTACCTGGGCCAGGCAAGGTGTCCTGGGGAAAGAAAGGTCTTGGAGACGAAGGGGCAGCCTGTGGAGAAATGGGGGCCTCAGTCTCAGTCAGGTGAGGGGAAAGGTTTGGCGCTGTTGCTTCCACAGAATGCATTTTTGTCTTCTCCCAGGCTCCTGAGAGGAGCCTGACTGCGTACCTGTCTTCACTGCCTGTCCCTGCCTTATCTGTCAGAGGCAGATAAGGGTGCCTGCTGACAGGACTGAGTGAAATAATGCAGTCATCAATTTAGATAACTTGAAGTGGTAATCTCTTTGTGGCAATGGTGGTTGTTAATGCTATTATTAAGTCAAATGGGGCATGTGTCTCCAGCCTTCCTGAGCTCTCTAGCCTCCTCAGCCTCACCCCTCCATTTAGCTGGCCTTCCAGAGCCTCTGTCTTCTAAGCCCTTCCAGAACGCTTGTACCTCCTAACTGTGATGTCATGCCTCCAACCCTGTGTGTGTGCTGTTTCCCCTTCTTAGACTTCTTTCTCCATCTTGTTCTCAGTTTGATGGCATTTTCCTTGATGCCATCCTCCTTCCATGATGCCATCCTCCTTCCACTCAGCCTCCTCAGTGCCCCAGGCTGAGTTAGAGGTGTCTTCTGGGCCCCTTTGGCCCCCAGTGATTCCCATTATCACAGCCCTGAGCACTGTGGCGGTCGCTGCCCTGTCTGCATCTGTCTCCTGTAGGCTGTGAGCTCCTGAAGAGGCAGCCCTAGATCTGTGTCCACTCTGTGTCCCCAGAGCCCAGTCCTATGCATAGCCTAGAGCATGAGATTCGTGGGTGCTTGTGATAGGGAAGGAGGGAGGAAATCAGCCCAGGGCTCAGCTTACCCCTAGTCTGGGGGAGGTCACCGCAGACAGCCTCATCCCAGTTAAGCAGAAGAGGTGCCGGGGCTGCCGAGGGAAGGACTGTGCCCCTCTGCACTGACTGTCCATCCGGCCTGGATCTTTCTCTCCAGGTAGACCAAGCAGATGGGACCTCTCCCTCGGTGGGGGATGGAGGTGATAAGGGGTGCGTGTGTGTGCAGAAATGGGAGGCAGGCTCTTGGCTCTGAAATTGTTTAGTGGTTGCCATAAACCACAACAATGGGCTTGACTTCCTGGGGCTGAGCTGATGGGCACTGGCTCAGGCAGAAACTTGGGTTAGAACGCATGCTTGGATGTGTGACCTTAGCCAAGTTACCTGTCCTCTGTGCCTCAGTTTCCCCATCTGCAATGGTATGTAGGTGTGGGGGGGTAATAATCCTTTTCACAGGGCATTTTGAGAGCAATTAGAGAGAATGCCAGTTAAACACCCGGGCAGTAGATGCTCACTGCTGCTTCGTTGATTCATCCAACAGAGATGAATGGCTTGAACACCAGTCACTAGGCTATGCCCTGGGCACACAGACAGACCCCGTCCCAGCCTCTGAAGAGAGGGGCAGGGGCAGCATCAGGTGGGGCCTTTTAGGCCATGGAAAGGAACTTGGCCTTTACCCTAAGAGCAATGGGAAGCCAGGGAAGGATTTTAAGTCCAGAAGTGACATGGTTAGATTTGTTTTTTGTTTTTTTTTAAGATGGAATTTTGCTCTTGCCGGGGCTAGAGTGCAATGGCGCGATCTCTGCTCACCGCAACCTCCACCTCCCAGGTTCAAGCGATTCTCCTGCCTCAGCCTCCTGAGTAGCTGGGATTACAGGCATGTGCCACTACGCCCGGCTAATATTGTATTTTTAGTAGAGACGGGGTTTCTCCGTGTTGGTCAGGCTGGTCTCGAACTCCTGACCTCAGGTGATCCACCTGCCTCGACCTCCAAAAGTGCTGGGATTACAGGCGTGAACCACCGCACCCAGCCAGATTTTGGTTTTAAAGACGTATCTTTGGTGATTATGGGAGAGACAGGTTAGGGGAAATAATGCTTCCAATGTTCTCTCTCAAAGAAACTACCTAGAGGCTGGGATGAGTTACAACAAACATCCTTTAAAGTACATTCCTGGCCAGGTGCAGTGGCTCACGCCTGTGATCCCAGCACTTTGGGAGGCCAAGGCAGGTGGATTACCCGAGGTCAGGAGTTTGATACCAGCCTGGCCAACATGGTGAAACCTTGTCTCTACTGAAAATACAAAAAATTAGTTGGGCGTGGTCGTGGGTGCCTGTCATCCCAGCTACTTGGGAGGCTGAGGCAGGAGAATAGCTTGAACCTGGGAGGAGGAGATTGCCGTGAGCTGAGATCACACCACTGCTCTCCAGTCTGGGCAACAGAGTGACACCCTGTCCTCAAAAAATAAATAAGTAAAAATAATAATTAAGTACATTCTTGAGCTCTCACAGAAGTAACAGAAACCCTCCAGCCAAGAGTGAAGAGAGAACTGAAGTCAGGCTGGCAAACAAGATGAAGCCACGGCAACCTTAGGCTGTTTACACATTTCAGAAATCTAAAGCCAGGAGTTTCAATGGCCACTCAACAGATGGGAAAGAAGGTCTTGGGCCTACACAGTTACAGTTTGAGGAGTTGGAACTTGGCATCCCCCGACTCAACACATAAATCTGGGACCCTCCGAGGGCTGCAGCCTCAGTGAATAGGAAGATTGGCTAGAAGAAAGGTCCGCCCCCACCAGCAAAGGGAGACAGCATTTCCGGTGGGGAAAAAAGACTCCCTAAAGAATTGTAAATACTGGTCTGCCATCACACAAACTTTGGGTTTGATGGCACACCACTACCTTTGTGGTCCTGGAAACCATAAACTTAAAAAAGTAACTTAAATGGTCTCAGGGTGGTAGTTCCCCCGGGAACCTGGCCAAAGTAAATGAAAAATCCTTCCTGGAGCAATCCCACTGTCCCTTTGGATCTCTCAAATGTGAATTTGTAATATGATTGCAAAACACACAGGGAAATAAGCCAGTGTGAGCAGCAGGCTCCAGAAACAAAAAAGAGCAGAATTAGTTTCCCTGGTAGTCTAAAATGCTGGAATTATGAGATATAGAATAAATAATCATGTTTAAAATGTATAAACGAATTGAAGATGGACTTGAGGCAGGGAACATAATACTACCCCAAATAACTAAGATTTGAAAAAGAACCAAGTGGAATTTCACAAAATGAAAAATACAATCATTGAAATGAAAAATTCAGTAGACAGGATAAGTAGCAGGGCAGACACACCTAATGATTGAGAGAGCTGGTGAAATGAAAGAAATTACTCAGGATCTAACAGAGGGTCCAAGAGATAGTATGGAAGTTAGTTAAGAGACGTGAAATATGGAATATAAAGGTCTAACAGAGAAGAGAGAAGAAGGTGGAAAGAGTGGAATGGAGAGTGTTCCGACAGACCTGGGTAAAGATGGTGCTGGCCTGGACCAGAAGGTATTGGGCATAGAAGGGGTTGATTGAGAGATGTTAGGAAGTAGTCTGTGGCTTATACCTGTAATCCCAGCACTTTGGGAGGATGAGGTGGGAGGATCACTTGAACCCAGGAGTTCGAGACCAGCCTGGGCAACATATGAGACCCCATCTCTGTAAAAATTCTTAAAAGAAAAAAAAAAAGTTAAGAAGTAGAATTGATGGGGTTTAGTGATGGAGGGGATGCAGAGGCCAGAGAAGGGATGTGGCAAAGATGATTATCAGATTTTTGGCTTGAGGAATTGGGTAGAGGAGTGTTGCTTATTAAAATGGCAGACAGGCATGGTGTCTCACGCATGTAATCCTAACACTTTGGGAGGCTGAGGCAAGAGGATCACTTGAACCCAGGAGTTCATTGAGACCAGCCTGGGCAACATGGTGAGATCCCATATCTACCAAAAAAAAAAAAAAAAAAAGAAAGGCAAAGACTAGGGGAGAACAGATTTGGGAGAATGAACAGGAGTTCAGTTTTGAAAAAGGCATGTTTCAGTTTGCCTGGGAAGATCTGCTGATGCATCTCAGAGCAGGAGACTTTAGAGCTGGGCCTTAAGGTATATGTAGGAGTTACCTAGTGGAAAGGGAATTTCTTTTAACTAACTTTTGGGAAATAGGACTTCCCTTCAGGGAGAGCATCAGGCCCCTTTCTGGAACATTCTTTCATTCAAAGGAGGCCCCTTGAGAAAAGGCATTATCAAAACATCAAATAGACAGGGTTCTGGGATCTCTTAGTTCCATCTCGCATTTTTGTATGGGAAAGCTGAGACCCAGAAAAGTCAGGGGTTTGCTTTCCTAGCCTTAGACTCTTCATTCATTCATTCATTCATTCACTTAACAGATATTTATTAAAAGCCATTTTGTCCCGGATACTAGGTGCTGGGGATACAGCAGTTAAAGATTCTTGCTTCCTGGAAGTTTATAGTTTAGTGGAGGGAGACAGACAATAAACACAAAAATAAGAAAAACATATCATGTCAGAGGGTAGTAAAAGCTACAGAGAAACGTAAGGACTGGAAAGGGTTCAGGTATTCTGGAGGAGCCACTGGCAAAGTGAATTTGAAAGTCCCTGGGCCTCTCGTATGGGGCTGCTGACCCTCGAAGCCCATTGTGACAACGTCTGGGATTCTAGAGTCCAGGCCTGGGGGAGGGAAGAGGCCTGGAGAAGGAGGAGGGAAAAAGGGGCTGTGGGATTTAGTGGGTGGGCTGCACCCCCCCGGGGGGCAGCAGAGCCCAATGGGTCAGAAGGGCCACAAAGACTCCCTTTACCCTTGTGGAGGGTAAGATCATTTATTCCTGAGGCGTCTTTGCTCCTTGCCCTTGGCTCCTCCCCCACCTCCGTCAGATCTCAGATGACATTCCCTTCTGCTCCCCCTCCCACCCTTGGGAACACCAAGAGGTGGGTCCGAATTGTTTCTGCGTCTCACTACAGAGTGGCAGCCTGGAGGAGCTCGTGACAGGCACCCAAGGCTGGCCAGGGAGACCGAGTAGGCCCTGTGAGGCTCTGTCCCAGTCAGGAGAGGCTGGAGGGCTGGAGGGCCCCTGTGTCATGCCCCGCATCTCTTCCCCCAGGACTCCTGAGAGCAGCCTCCACGAGGCCCTGGACCAGTGCATGACCGCCCTGGACCTTTTCCTCACCAACCAGTTCTCAGAAGCACTCAGCTACCTCAAACCCAGGTGAGGCTCAAGCCCCGGTTGGGGTAGGGGGTGTGCTTGACGGTCAGGGAGAACCAGAGGTCTTGTATGAGAGGAACTCTGTGTAACTAAATGCCTTTGGCTTTCTGGGTCACCAGGACCTCTGACAAGTCCCATAAAGATGGCTCAGGCTCCATTCCACAGCCTGCGTGTATCCAGGCCCTCTCCAAGGTCACTGTGACTTGCTTCTCCTCAGGCTCTTGAGGGTTCTTCACACTTCCTTATGTGTTCCCGCATAAGGAGTTTCTTCCTTGCCAGCTCTCACACGACCCTTTGTTTATTTTTCCCCAAAGCACTAAAGACTAGGTTGCCTGCTTTCCTGGGTGTTTTAGGGCAATAAAGAGGGCTGCTCCCTTGACCATTTCCTTGAATGCTCACGGCCATGTTTCTGTAAATACAAATCAATAATGTGCATATACTCCTTTTTCTTTACTTATCACTTTTTCTCAGTTTTAAAAATTGAGATATAATTCAGATACCATAAAACTCACTCTTTCTTACCACTTTAAAACATTTATTGGGCTGGGCGTGGTGGCTCACGCCTATAATCCCAGCAGTTTGGGAGGCCAAGGCGGGCAAATCACTTGAGGTCAGGAGTTGAAGACCAGCCTGGCTAACATGGTGAAACCCCATCTCTACCAAAAATATAAAAAATTAGCTGGGTGTGGTGGTGTGTGTCTGTAGTCCCAGCTACTCAGGAGGCTGAGGCAGGAGAATGGCATGAACCCAGGAGGCGGAGCTTGCAGTGAGCCGAGATCGCGCCACTGCACTCCAGCCTGGACGACAGAGCCAGACTCTGTCTCAAAAAAAAAAAAAAAAAGAAAAAAAGAAAAGAAAGAAATAAGCAATGTTTACCTTACTATACCTTTTTGATTAATGCTCATTGCAAAGAAAATCATGTGTGAGACTGTTTCCTTCTAGAGTTAATAATTTTCTTGCTTTTCCCATTTTCCTAATTTGCTAAACATTTATCCTTAAGTCTTTGTAACCACTCCCATCAGATCATCCTATCATGAGTTTTTCCCAAAATGCTGAAATCTATCAAGTAAGCACTCAGTACCCCCCTCATTTTCCTGGAAACCTATCCTTGGGAGGACAGACATGTCTTCTGGCTCCTCCTGGCTGTTTCCTAGAGCTCCTTTGCATTTCTCCTGCTTCTTTGATTCCAGGTCTTTTCTCTTGTGTCCCCCTCGTTTGCCAGGGAATGTCCCATAGAAATTTCCTAAGAAAGGCTGAGCGCAGTGGCTCATGCCTGTAATCCCAGCACTTTGGGAGGCTGAGGTGGGTGGATCATTTGAGGTCAGAAGTTCAAGACCAGCCTGGCCAACGTGGTGAAACCTCGTCGCTACTAAAAATACAAAGATTAGCTGGGCATGGCGGTGAGTGCCTATAATGCCAGCTACTTGGGAGGCTGAGGCAGGAGGATCGCTTGAATTCAGGAGGTGGAGGTTGCAGTGAGCAGAGATTGCTCCATTGCACTCCAGCCTAGGTGACAAAGTGAGACTGTGTCTGGGGAAAAAAAAAAAAAAAGAAATTTCCTAAGAAAGGCTGGGTGCAGTGGCTCATGCCTGTAATCCCAGCACTTTGGGAGGCTGAGGTGGGTGGATCATTTGAAGTCAGAAGTTCAAGACCAGCCTGGCCAACGTGGTGAAACCTCGTCGCTACTAAAAATACAAAGATTAGCTGGGCATGGCGGTGAGTGCCTGTAATGCCAGCTAGTTGGGAGGCTGAGGCAGGAGGATCGCTTGAATTCAGGAGGTGGAGGTTGCAGTGAGCAGAGATTGCTCCATTGTACTCCAGCCTAGGTGACAGAGTGAGACTCTGTCTGGGGGCAAAAAAAAAAAAAGAAATTTCCTAAGAAAGACTTGTATAAATATATTTTTTTCCCTAAGAATTTTGAATACCTTGCTTCAGTGTTCTAGCATTTACTGTAGCTGTGAGAACCCTAATTCTTCTTACTTACTCCTTCTCCAGAAAGGTTTAGGATTGGCTCTTGTATTTCTGAAAATCTGGAATTTTACCGCGATGTGTGGCAATGAAGTCTTTTTTATTCTGGATTGTTATGCGGGCTCTCAGTTCTGGGCAATGCTCTTGTACGATAGTTCCATCTTATTTCCCTTTCCTGGGCTTTCTTTAACGTGCCTTTTGGACCTCCTAGGTCAGTCCTCTTCTGAGCCTCTTCCCTCTCCCTCTTGTTTTTCCCATTGCTTTATCTTTTTTTTCCGTCTGATTTTTGGAAGATTTCCTCACCCTTCTCATTAATTCCTGCTGTTGACTTCTTTATCTCTGTAATCATATGATTAATTTCCTGGCATTCTTTATTCTCTGAATGTTCTTTTTTCCCTAAAACATCTTCTTCTTGGTTTATGGTGTACCAACTTCTTTATATCTATATTTGGAATATGAGGCCCTTAGGACAATGCCTGGCATGTATTAAGTATCTAATAAAGTATTTATTGTTATTGTCACAGAATATTATTTCTGTTTAAAATATTTCATTCTTTTCCTGCATAACTTGGCTTTCTCCGTGTTCCTGGAGTCTGTTTAATGGGGGAATTCTGTTCTCATGGGGTGCTTTCTTCAAAAACCCAGCCATCCCCGGCTGTCTGTCTAGTCCTGTTTAAGAATGAGCTCATGCGAAGGCCAGCCGGGAGGTCTGTGCCAAGCTGCCTTGTAGTTGGTGGAGTTGGCTTTGGATGACCTGGCCACCAGATGTCAGCACCCGGGATGACTTGGCTTCTCCAGTGAGGAATCCTCCATTTCTCAGCCTGGACAGAGAGCCTTAGCCGCCTAAATTGGGAGACTAGGGGCTGAGGTCTAATCATCTCTGCCATCTACTCCCCCTAGTCCGCCTCTTTTCAGCTCCAACTTGTCCCCTGCACCCAAGCCCCAAGGAAAAGTGAATGCTGAGGCCAGGGGACTGGTTTCCACAAGTCCCCAGGCCTGACCTGTTCAGTTTCTGTAGACATGATGGACCCATCTTTCTCCCTCTAGGGTCAGTGGCCCAACTTTTGGGGTGGGGTGAGTGTTCCAGGGCATGGGGCAGTGTCCACACCTCACTCCCACCCTCTGAGGGAACCTGGCTTGAGGGGGTCAGGCTGGGTGGGTCAGGGCCTGCAGCAAGAGTGTGGCCATGGCCTGAGGCAGGCCCAGCTGCAGCTTGCTCTGTCTTAGAATGTCCAGGTTCCCCTCTCAGTTTTCTTGGAAGGCTCCCCAGCTCCTGCTTCTCCCCTAGTCATTTCCTGTTGCTCACTCAAGCCTGGACCCCAGACCATAGCCACCCTCCTGCACTGGAAACCAGCTACCCAGAACACAGCTGCTCAGCCTGTCCCATACCCCAAGCACAGACACTGGCCCTTCTCCTCACCCACTGAACCCCCGATAAGGTCATGCCTCAGCCTACTCTAAACTGTCCTGTAGACTTGGGGCCAACAGAAGGGAGTCAAAACACTGGAGAAAATATTAAAACCAAAGGCTGTGGCTGCGCCTGGGTCCTCGAGCTGTCCCTGCCACAAGGTCCCTGAAAGGGCTTTTCCCTCTATGGCCCCCTCACCTCAGGAGGGCATTCTAACAGGAGTCCTGTAGCTCTCAGGACCCCCAGAGGAAACCCTCGTCCTAACAGAGACACTCCAGGAATCCAGTCTTCCCATGGAGCCACCTGTTACCTCACGTGGGAAGCAGTGCAGCATCTGTTTCTTAGCCCCTGCCTTATTCCAGAAAAGGATCCTTTCTTTCTTTTTTCTTTCTTTTCTTTCCTTCTTTCCTTCTCTCTCTCTTTCTTTCTTTCTTTCT